GAGTTCTTCAGCGATCACTGAACATACTCAATGTATTGATCGCTGGAACTGAAAATATAGAAACTAAAATACATCGAAAGGAAAAAAGGATTATCATCAAATCACTGAGAGAGAGGATCAACAAAATGTATAATCATAATATTTTCATTTAAATACTAGTATTTTTCCAAGTAAGAACGGGAAGTTCCGTATTGAAAATTCTCGGTTTCCATCATAAATAAATAAACAAAGAGTAAAGTACGTTTTTAGTTCCTGTCATTTGTTAAAAATTACGATTTTCATTTCTATAATTTAGAAATTACAATTTTTATTTTTATGGTTTATAATTTATCATAATTTTTGTTTCTAAATTAATTCCTACTTTTCTAAGTTTAAGGGACCAAAATAGTAAAAAAACCTATAAACCACAAGAACTGAAACACAACCATTTACTAAACGTTTATCCGGTAAGTACTTAACGGATAATTTTCCTCACCGGATGAACATGACAAGGGCCAAAAATCTTATCCGATAAGAACGAAGATAAGAATGGAGATTTTTATCCGGTAAGTGAGGATGACAACTCTTACCCGAGTAAGCGCTTACATGGAAAATTGTTGCATGAAATGCATTTTGATATACTACGACCTTACCCAATAAAATAAATTATAGTATTGACTCCTAATGATAAACACTTACCAAGTAAACATTTAAGTAAACAACCCCTAAATCATAAATCATAAGACGAAAATATCAACGATTTACAAACTATAGGAAGGAAAAAAGGTAATTTTACTCTAAACCACAGGGACGAAAATCGTAACTTTTAGCAAACCACAGGGACTAAAAACGTAATTTACTCCTAATCAAATACAATGTGTCTCACGCTCCATGACCAAACCAAAAATTCCAGAAGAAATGGAAAGAACCGAGCAAAAGAAGATTGAAGAAGGAAAAGTCTCTGCAAAGAGACTATTGACTCTCTTTTGGTCCATTTCCTTATGTAATCCATGGCGTATTCATCATCTATCAACCCAACAACCCCCCTTTTGTTATTTCAAAGATTTTGACTTTCCGTTCACCTCATTTTCCCCTTCTTAAAACACAGATTTTCCCAGAAACCCAACTACGGAAATCGCCCCAGAGTCAGAGGTATGCAATTTTGTTATTTGGGGATTCTGTAATTGAAATTCAAGATATCTATGCTTTCTGTTTGTAAATTCGATTTTGTTGAATTCTTATTTGAGAAGATGAAGTTTCTAGGATATGGGTTTCAATTTTTGTTTGATATGATTTCTAATTTTCAGAAAACTTGAAGGTTTTGTAGTTTGAATTATGGGAAATTGTTGTGTTACCCCTGGTAAATCTGCTAAGAAGAAGAAGGATGAGAAGGAGAAGAGCAACAAACCAAAACCGAATCTATTTTCAGATGTTCATCGTACCAAACCGGAATCCGGAGGTGCAAACACATTTTACGTATTGAAAAACCCAACGGGTCATGACGTTGGTCAGCGGTACAATCTCGGAAGAGAGCTAGGAAGGGGTGAATTTGGGGTAACGTATTTGTGTACGGATTTGGAGTCTGGCGAAAGATTTGCTTGCAAATCAATACTGAAGAAGAAACTTAGGACTTCAATAGATATCGAGGATGTGAGGAGAGAAGTTGAGATCATGAAGCATTTGCCGAAGCATCTGAATCTCGTGGCCTTGAGGGATGCGTACGAGGATAAAAATGCCGTACACATCGTGATGGAATTGTGCGAGGGTGGTGAGTTGTTTGATCGGATTGTGGCCAGGGGACATTACACAGAACGCGCTGCAGCTGCTATTATGCGGACAATAGTTGAAGTTGTTCAGGTGAATTTCAACCTTGTTTTTAGTCTCCTATGATCAAGGTATAGGGGGTGTTTGGGATTGCTTATAAAAACAACTTATTGACTTATTTCGGTGTGACACTGGTAATAAACACTTTTTGAGTGTTTGGATAAACAACTTATACCGGTGTCAAACATGCAATAAGGAGTTTTTGAAGAAGTTTAACCATTTTAACTTATAATAAGTCAAATAAGCAATCCCAAACACCAAATAACCTGAAAACCGAATAACCTGAAACTGTTTTTGTTTAGATGGGTTCTTCAAGTTCCAAATTTTTTACACCCTTAGGTGTGCCATCAATCACCTAAGTTTTTGGATCCGCCACTGCATCCCACTATTATTCATCCCAACTATATTTATACTACATATGTTATATATATATATATATATGCAAAAGTAGCATATAGATACAACTATATTATAAAGCATTTGGTCAAAAGTCTTAAAAGTATTTACTAAGCATTTGTCGCCGCTTATTAATGTATAAGCCCTTAAATTTCAAGTTTACAAGTAATTACTTCATGCATACAACGTTTTAAAGCTTCACGCTTGAAAACAAAACTAACCGATAACAAGTGATGATCACGTCCAATTCGTGCTTATCCCTACAAATACGTGCTTTTCCATAGTAATACTCCATAAATTTGAATTTTTTTTAAATGAGGAATTGCATTAATTTTCCATTCTTGTTTACGATAAAAAAAATTATATACGGGTACACAACTAGTAGTTATGGAATTTATGTCATCGTAGTTGTATATTATTTGATCTCTTACCAAGACTGAATCACGGGGTTTATTCTCGATTGACTTTAGTTCCTATCCATTGCAGATATGCCACATGCGTGGAGTTATGCATCGCGATCTTAAACCAGAGAATTTTCTTTTTGCCAATAAGAAGGAAACCGCTGCTCTGAAGGCCATTGATTTTGGGCTGTCTGTGTTCTTTAAGCCGGGTATGTGATTTATAATTATTCATCTAGATGTGAACCATGGTTTTAAAAATCATTTGAGGCTTACGCTTCGAGGCGCGCCTTGAGGTGAGGCGGCCCAAAACCGCACCTGAGGCGACGCCTTTTGGACCCTGGACGAGGCTTACACCTTGGTTCAGTGAGGCGTGAGGCGATGTCGAGGCATAGCCTCAGATGATCTACTTTGTTAATGTTTTTTTTTTTTTTTACTTTTTTATAATCTTTATGGCATTAGTAGTACTTCTCTTTATATTACTACTCTTTTTGTACTTCTAAAAACTAAAAGTCAAAGCACAATTTTTCTCCCTCCAGGCAACCAATTTTTCCAAACCCTCTCAGCCTGTCTCACAGTTTCACTCTTTCTTATGTCAAGAACCACTGAACCAACGCGTCTTTGTAATTTATTAGTATATATATGTATATATACAAATGTATGTATTTGTGTAGTATATATACGTATTTTGGTGTATCTATATTTCCACTTTGTTCTTATGCCTCGCCTTGTTGACGGAAAACACCTCGAGGCTTGATTCCGCCATTTAAAACCTTGATGTGAACCTTTTTGTTAGATGGAATCTTTAATCTGCCTAAAGATGTTTGTTGTTATCAGGTGAGGTCTTCAAAGAGATAGTCGGAAGTCCATGGTATATGGCCCCAGAAGTTCTAAAGCGCAATTATGGTCCGGAGGTTGATGTATGGAGTGCTGGAGTTATCTTGTACATTTTGCTTTGTGGTGTTCCACCTTTTTGGGCAGGTTTGATATACATTATTTTTTTTAGACTCTTTATTCAGAAATTTTGGGGCAACGAGTAGATACGGTCCATGCAACTTGCAAGCAATCCTCTCCACATGGCCTGCGGAAACTTTAGGCCTTCTAGCTGGTTGGTGTAACCCCTAAGGAGTTGATAGCACCTGAAAGGATTCTAACACGAGCCCTCACTTACACAAAATTTACTCTTTTCATTAATCACACACACACATATAGAGAGGAGCGATCAAATGCAAACCACCCCCTTTTGTGCAAACCCTACAAACCAATCTCATCCATCCATTTTTTTGATCAATGGTCATGTTTAAAATGTGTTATATTAGGAAAGTAAAAAATAAAATAAAATGAAAGGTTTAATATTTAATCAAGAAAGGGAAAAATTGGCAAACCATTGTTCGTCTCACTTTTGGAAATTGATTTCATCAATTAAAACATTTTGAAAACCGTATCTCATTTTTTCATTAGTGAAATTTGTTTCATTATTCGTCCGTATAATGAAATTTGAGCTAGATATGGTTCAGTCAATGGAACATTTTCCAAAAATCTGAATAACATGTTTTCGTTAATGAAATTCCTTTCATCATTGAAATTGGTTTCATGGACTCCACAACTCCAAAAACTGAATGACATTGTTTCAGCAGTGAAACTTGTTGAAATGTTTCCTAACCAAAATGGAATCGGTTTCATGGTTTCTAACCAAGATGAACTCGGTTTTACATATGAAACTAAATATTGCGCAGTGAATGAAACATTTCAAGAATTGAATAATAATATTTCATTCATTTTTAAATTTGTTTCATGTTTCCCAACCAATATGGAATCGGTTTAATGGTTTATGTCAATGAAACATTTCAAGACCTAAATAATATTATTTCATTAATGAAAGTAGTTTCATGGTTCATAACCAAAATGAAATTAGTTTCATTTTTGAAACATTTTGAAAACTGTATAACGTGGTTTCACTAATGACATTTGTTTTATGAATGAAATCAAAACAATATATGAAACTGTTTCACTGTTTCTTGAATGAATTCATGAGACTCATTATCACCTTGAATGAAAGATGGACCCTTTGACATGGTGTTGTGAACCATATATGAAACTATTTCATTTATAGTTATTGAAACAGGATTAGACTGTTAATTATTTGTAATAATTCATATTTTAGGAGTATAGTTTTACAATTCATATTCTAGGAGTATAATTTAATAAAAGAATATAAATTATTAATGGTAATAATTATATATTAAAATAAATTGATTTACAGCTTTCATAAAAACAGTTGCTATATTTAGTTTTCCATATTTAAAACAATTAAAACATTACCAAGATTAGCTATTACAAAGTAAAATGACATTTATACTCTTATTCATTAAAAATAAAGAATAAAACATGGAATTTTCCTATTGGTTGAAATTGGTTTCTATAGTTTGCATAAATAGGCGGTTTGCAATCTACCCCCCCCCCCCCCTCTCTATATATATAGGGGAGCGATCAAATGAAAACCACTCAATTTGTAAAAACCGTAAAAACCTCATTCCACCAATCATAATTTTTCATTTTGTTCATATTTTTGTAATTATAAGAGGTTGATTAATCATTTTTATTGTGGAGAATGTTAATCATGGATATTATCATCTTCATTATTTTAATTTTAGAGAAATACATGAAACAGTTTCATT